GCCTCCCCACCCTCACAGGGAAGAATTTCTTCTGCATATCTAACCTAAATTTTCCCTCTTTCAGTTTGAAGCCATTCTCCCTCGTCCTGTCACTGAGGAAAAGTCCCTCTCCAGCTTCTCTGTAGCCCCTTCAGATACTGGAAGGTGCTGTGAGGTCTCCACACAACCTTCTCTTCTCCAGGCTGATCAATCCCAACTTTCTCAGCCTGTCCAGTGACCTGGTGTCACATTTTGCACTGATGGCATGGGGCATTCACATGACCTTCCCTAAAGTGCCTGGGAACATCCTAGCTCCACCAGCCAACGCTGTAGTTATGGAAAACACTCATGCTGGTCGGGGTCTCACCTGAGGCAGAGGAGAGTGGTGCAAGCTGTGCTCTGAGCAGGCTGGAGCAGTTTCCAGCTGCAGGGTTTCCTCCCAGCATGGCAGATTGGTCACGAGCAACATCAGGCAACGGAGGCACAGGCAGAGGAGGTGCCCTGGAGGCAGTAAAAAGGGTGTGAGGATGAACCAGAAGACAAGGCAAGGCATTATGACCAAATACATACTCTTCTACCCTACAATGGGCAGATCCTACATCACTAGCTGGTGGAAAAAGAAAGCAGTGGCTGATTTAGGTGTGCAAGGAATGCTGTCTTGACAGTATTTGGGGAAGCAGCCTCAAGTCCCCAGTGTAGGACAGGCAGCAGGGACAATGCAATGAAATAAGTCAGGTGGTCTCCAATCTTTAACTTAATTTTTCCTCTTTGCATTCTGTTTTCTCACTCCAGATTGCCACAAATATATCCCTGTGGAAACTAATTTCTTCCCTCACACATTCACTCACTACCCCTTGAAAGACTATCTATCCCCTCACATACTCCCTTCCCCCCCCCAGTAAATGTCCCCTGCTCACCTAGGAAAGGTGACTTTGTAAGACTGATCTAAGCAAGCAGCACTTCCATCACCAAGTGAAAATCCATGGAAATGGAAAGCAATGGTGGGAAATGCAATGGGCTCCTGACCATTCACAAAAACATAAAATGAAGGGGTGATCCATAGACCTTTCTATCTCATCCCTTGTGCTCCACATGACTTTAGCCACAGCAATCTCAACAGATTTATTTCAAACCCTCTTTTAAGAGGGTCTACTACAATTTGCCAAGAAATCTGACGAGCTACCAAGGTCCAACTCGATTGTCAGCTCTCCACAGTTTAAATGTAAAGGGGGAATGGCAAAGGAAAACATTTAATTCATTAGGTACCTGTTGTGGAAAGATGAGAAAACAGAGTAGGTCCCCCACCCATAATCATGTGACAGAGGTGACGATGTTGGATGTTTTCTGTTGCCTTTCGCTTTCAGCTTCTCCGATTTTCGCCACTTTGCCCTGCGATTCTGAAACCAGACCTGATGAATGGAAAGAAAGGATGCATTCAGGAAGGAAAACATCTACACATGGGGACACTGGCAACGAATCAGCAGTGACTGCTTCCACACATCACCAGGTGAGCCCAAAAACCTTTCTTTGACAGAAAGGAACCTCAAGAAACCTTTCTTCCCAAGAACCTGCACAATTCATTGCAGACAGAAAAATAATAGCAGAAAGACACCCCCAAACATCAATTTCCTTTGCTGCCCATGATTTTCAAGACAAAAGAGATTAACTCTGATCTTCTTAGCCTCATTTATCTAGCCATTATATGAGTCATCTTATGAAATGGGAAGATATGCAACCCCAGACTCCATGGCCATTTTGGGTGGGGTTGAGCAGTGTCCATCCCTGTGAGCTCTCTTCCTTGTCACCAGTGGCAGGTGTAGTTGTCACCTCCTCCCTGCCCCAGTCCCTGTCCATCCCTTTTCTGCACAGAACCCACTGTCCCTCACGCAGGCGTTACCAGGATTCGCTTTGGCATCACACCAAACGCAGCTGCAAGCTCCATCTTCTTCTCAGTGTCGGGATAGGGGTCTTCCTGGAACACCTTCTCCAACTCTTCTAGCTGCTCTAGAAAACATGCATTGTTCAAAGAGAGTGAGAGATGGGGAGTATGTGATAAACAAGAAAAAAAAACCAGAAGAGGGAAGCAGAAAAAAAACAGAACATTTTTACTATATTTAGAAACACATGAAAAACATAAAAGATTTTTTTTTAAAGTAAACCACAAAACCAAACAAAACTCTTCTTTTGCAGTAGAAACAAAGAGCACTGCTAGCGGTGCTTCAAACATAAGACACTTTATTTGAAGATCTTCTCTATTTGAAGATCCTCACACATCTGATGGTGTGGAATGCAGTGCAGCACCAGTTAGGGCAGCTCAGCACCTCCATGGGCCTCCGGCATGGGGAAAGGAACACCAGTGCCACTGGCACTCCAAGTGCCCCTGTCTGCCAGTGGGTGCCCCAGTATCTACCTGCACTATAGAAGGTGCGGGACGTCTTCCTGACCGATGGTAGGATGTCTGGATTCTCAAGTAAGGTATTTTTCTCCTTTTCCTCTTTTCCCTCCTCCTTGGTTGCATCGTGGCTACTTCTGGATTCCAAGACTGAAGACACCTTGTAGGATTGCTGGGCTTCAGCACATTTGGATGACTGGCAAGTAGCTGGGCCACCCTCATCCTGCCTGCAGGGACCTCCAGGGATTCCACTTGGTGCTTTCTCGGCGGACATTCCACTTCTGTTGGTACTTTTTTTCTCCTCTGCCTCCTTTTCAGTCCCATCAAGGTAATGACTCTCACAGTGTTCAGGGGACCCTGACTGACCTGGGCGCTCATGATCCACCACAAAGTGCTCCTTACACTGCAGCACGTTGTACTCCTCATCCTGGCACTCTGTAAGGAAAAAATGGGAAAAAAAACACCCCAAAACCAACCCATACCCCACCTCACATGCACTGTGCCTGGATCAGGAGTTTCAGTTATGGAAGAAGGAAAACACCACACAACAAAACCCAACAGTGACAAGAATTGGAGAGCTCAAAATAAAAACTGTCACCAGGACAGAGCCTGCCAGGGAAGCAAGAGCAAAGAAACTGAAATGATCAATAGGGAGATAGTCAAACTTCTGTGATGAGAAATGGTTCATATTGAGAGTGAAGATGTCTGCAAAAACATTACCAACTGTAAACTACAGGGAGAGGTAATTCCAGGCACAGAGAATAAAGGGAAGGTTGCATATTACAAATACAGTAGTGGGAAAACAGCACTGGGGACAGCAAAGGTCTCTGGAATAATGGACAGAATAAAAATTAATGATTTACGAGCAAAAGAAAGACACAAGTGAAATTCTGGTCTATTGTGTCAACAGGGATTATCTAACAAATGGCAGACAATTTTTTATGTATTTCTGTCTTACCAAAGCTGACCAAGCAAAAACCATTAATTGTATAAGCTTCTGATAACTGCCTTGAATTATTTTTCTGCAGCTTCAGCCACACTTACAAATAACAGACTTACAAACCAGCAAATTAAATAGCTGGATGAGGACAAAAACAGGTGCAGAAGTGTGATCAAGTTTAACAAAAAGCACAAACTGCATTATAGTAAGGAAGACTAAATAGTAGAAGACAGGTCAGAGAGAACACAGCAAGAGAAATAATTAAAATAAGCAACATAACAATAAAGAAGCATTATACTTTTCCAGTTGGCATATACTTTTCCAAAAAACAATGTCCCAAAAACCTGCTGGTTGTCTTAGAATGTCTGAGTCTGTGTGATTCCTGCTAGCTAAACAAAACAATCAATCAATCAAACAAACAAACAAATAAATGCTTAAGAATAGAAAGTAGAATAACAAACCCAAACCCATGTATCTACCTCTGTCTGGAGGGGGGAAAGTTTGAGCAGACTGTTGGCAGCATTTCAGTTGTATATGCTTACAGAGAAACTTGGTCGTTTAATTTGGGGATCTAGAATAATTCTCTTTCTAACATTTCCCTCTGGTTTACTTTTGATATATATTAGTGCAATATCAAAATAAGGGATTTGCTTTCTGCCTCAATGTTTCTTTCTGAAACAACTGTTAGTCAAGAAGGAGTCCCATAACATCCATCAGATGGGAGAATCTGCATGGAAGTATGAGGGGATGCCAGGCTGTTCCAAGACCTTCCAGTTTGCTTTTTACAGGATTAAGAGAACTAAATTAGCTGCAGGGGAAAGAAACAGAAGCAGGAAGCTATGCAACTATAATAATTTGATCTTGTTAAGCAACAACAGTTTCCACTGCTATTGACATGAAATATTCTGATGGGGAGGGTCAAGAAACAGTGAGGCACGGTCTGGCTCTGTTCTGTATAATTCCTTTTTCCATCACCCTCCTTGTTGCCTCTTAGCTCATCTCACTCATCATGTGAAAAAACCAGTATTTTCTGTCACTCACCCAACACCTCAAATAGGCAATGGCATTTTCAGCTTAGTGCTTTGATTTGAGCAGGGGTTTCACTTGTTTCTGTGCAAACACCAGTATGTGTTTACACCACAAAATAAATTTCCAAGTCTTGTGTAGGTACTTTCTACCTGTTTTATATCACCCACAGAAATACTCTTGCAAGAGAAAGTAAATTGCTCTTATTTCTAAAATACATAGCAAAGGCCTCACAACAACTTGGGATTGACAAGGAAGAGCTGTAATAAAAATAGTTTGGAGAGAAAGATAGGCCTTCATGGTAATAAAGAGGGACTTACCAAACCACTCCTTTCTCCCATATGGCAAGAGACCAGACTGAACATCACTTTGTCCCACTTTTAGATAAACATAACCTTAAGCAGCGGAGATTTTAACTGACTGGGAACATCAGACGTTCAGTCTGGAACACCTGAGCTGCTGAAGGCGCACGAGCAGGAAGCCAAGCTCTCTTTTCCTTCTCACAACCACCTCCTTAGACATTTCTTGGAGCAAGCCAACCACTTGCACTGTGACAGCAAGACTTCTGAGGGTTTTTGGGGCATTTATTACAAAGCCACCTGAAGGCACGCACACGGACAGATGTCAGAGGTCCATCCACACAAGGAGGAGGAAAACCGGACAGCGGGGGGAAGGTACGACAGAGAAAACCGGAGGCAGCGGGAGCCCCTCAGCGCGACAGGAGGGGAAAGGCACCTGCCCCCAACCCTCGCTCAGGTGCTTTTACAAGCCAAGGCACACGAGGGCCCCGCAGCCCTTCGTCCCCAAACTCCGCCATGGAGCCCCAGACACCAGGATGAGTCTGTGCGGGGTCAGGACTCCGCGGGGATGAGGGAGGCGGGGGGAATGTTGGCCGGAGCGCCCAGATAACATCCCGGAGGAGCCATTACCCTTCCCCTGGTGCCACTCATTAAGCTCATCGCCGACTGCCTCCCTCCGGTCATTAAGGCGAGCCGGCACCACCCTTACCCATACCCTTGTAAGAACCCTTATAATAAACCTTAAATTAACCCCCATAACAACCCTTACCATCACCCTTACTCAGCTTTCCGGCCGCCCGCTCCTTGTTTTCTCCGTCCGCGCCCGTCCCGTCCATCCCGGCTCGGCTGTGCTCCCGGCCTCGCCCAGCCCGGTCCGGTTAATGCCCCGCCCGAGGTCAGTCCTGCCCCGGCCCCGCCGGCTCATCAAGGAGACCCGGGACAGCGGGGGAGGCTGCCCGACCCCCGCACCCGCAGGGAACGGGGCAGCGTCCCCGCTCGGCCTCGGCGGGGATGCTGTTCCCCCACGGACGGTACGGGAATGCTTCAAGCTCGGCTCAGGATACCTGGGAGACTGCTTCCCGCGAAGAGCTGGTGGAAATGCCGCCCACAGCACGCCGCCGAAGCCTAGATGTTGCAAAGCTCGCGTTATCTAGAGTGGTGTGTCCAGTCCGGCCTCCTCAGTGCAAGAAAGACAAGGAGCTGCTGGAGGGGGTCCAGCGGAGGCCACAAAGGTGATGAGGGGGTTGGAGCATCTCTCTGAGGAGAGGCTGTGGGAGCTGGGTCTATTTTGTCTGGAGAAGAGAATGCTGAGACAGGATCTCATTAATGCATATAAATATTTCCAAGGCAGGTGCCAAGAGGATGGTGCCAGACTCCCTTCAGTTGCGCCCAGCAACAGGAGGGCAGCAACGGCCATAAACTAAAGCACAAAAAGCTCCACTTCAGCATAAATAACTGGAACAGGCTGCCCAGGGAGGTCGTGGATCTCCCTCTGGAGACATTCCAAACCCACCTGACCTGCTACCCTGTCACTTGCTCCAGGTGACCCTGCATTGGCAGGGGGTTGGACTGGATGCTCTCTGGAGGTCCCTTCCAACCCTAAGGACTCTGTGATTCTGTAGTCTTTTCCAGTGGGCTGGCAGGAAGATATTACTTTTTTAACGTGCTCTGGCTGTAGTTATTTAGCAGTGCTTCTGGTTCTCCATCAATGGGGGTGCACTGTCTGCAAAGACAGTGCTGGCATGAAGAATGAGCCTTGCTTCACTGCATTCTGATGCACCAAAATAGAATATCCTTCATCCTCCTCATGGTTACTGGCTTACCATCTTGTTGCTCTCACGGCACCATTCTCCTACTGTGTGTTTCCCTAATACCTTCTGTCTTTGTTTCAAGGTTCACTAGAGCTTGGAAGGTCCTGCTTCTACAGATACTTTCACCTGAAAGCAGTTTCACCATGTTAAATGAGTGTAAGCTGAAACAGGTGCCAGCATTTTGCAGACAGTATAATCGGTCTAACTGTGCACCTGGTTCAGCCACCAGCTGCAAGACATGCTGGCTGCAGTGTCATTGTGGCTAAAATGGCATTTAGTTTGCTAACAGCATTCAGCCGACAAAACATAACTCAGAAGGGATGGGACCTCTTCAATATTAGATAAAAGTGCAAATTATAAAAATCACTAACTGCTTCAGAGGTTCCTGTTTCTGAGCAAGGTTGTATTTATTTACTGAATTCTGGTCCTAATATCAGCTTTTTCTTTTGAAGGGAGTAAGAACTGTGGAGAATGCTTTCTTTTATTTTCCTTGAGGAGGGACCAACTCAGGTTCCCAGGGCTGTGAGCTTTTTTTTTTCCTCTCTTTAGAGCCACATATATCTATATGTATATATATTTTATACTTCTTTATATGAAAAATGACAGGAGTCATAACATTAACTTTCAGATGTAAACAGTTACTTTCTCGGACTCTCAACAAAGCTGTTTAGATGTAGTTTATACTTGTGCTCCATTGCTGTTCTTCTCACAAGAATAAATTAGTGTAACTGCCCTCTGAGGTTTTTTTTTTTCAGTATAGAAATACTGAATTTCTTTTGTCTGGATACACTATGTATCAGTCTCCACAGGTTCCTGGGGAAGATACACTGGCACCTCTCACACAGCGTTCCTATGCCCTGCCTTCTTTGTGGATCTTCCTAGATAAGTATTGGGACCTGTTTGACAAACCCTATGCTTCTGTTTAACACTAATTTTTTGGGAAATCAGGTTATCCTCATTAGATAATGTAGGGAGAAATCCTGACTCATAAAGAAGACTGTGATAGGACACAGCAGATACTCTGTTAAACTTGATTCCTGTAACCTGAATGCGCAGTTGGAAGGGGTATTGTACTAGTTTGATTAAGTTTGTACAAATCAAAGAGATGTTAATCAACTTCAGAAAGCATTTCAGTGCAGATATGGATTTCGGTGGCAGGATGGTGCTAGAGTTAAAAATTGAAATAAATAGTGAGAAGTTGAGGCCTATCTGAAATGCAAGAAATCAAAGTAAACCAGGGCATGAGCGCTTAGAAGCATAAGCTGACCTTTAAATGTTCCTAAACATACTCATTCATGGCTGGGCTTTGCGAACGAAGATTTGGGAAGGGCTCTACCCACATTTGCTACAAGCACACTGGTGGCTAAAGAGGCCAATGCGAGATAGACACGTCCGGTTGCAAAAGGCACAGCAGAAAGACTCCTTGGATGGGATGGACAGGACACGGTTCTTTCTGCGTTGTCTTTTTCTCTTCGATGGTGATCCTGCTGCGTTCTCAAAGGCAGCAGCAGTGTTATAGATGGTGTGTCTCCAGACCCCCCGATTGGAGGCCAGAGTAGACCAGTGATGAAGATCAGTGTGGCCAAGGCTGAGATGTTGTTTCAGGGAGTCCTTGTATCTCCTCTTCGGGGCTCCTCTCATGCAGCAGCCGGTGGCAAGTTCACCATAAAGCAAGATCTTAGGGAGGGGGTGGTTGGTCCTTCATCCTTGAGACATGTCCTGCCCAGCACAGCTGTGTTCTCAGCAACATGGCCTCAATGCTCGTAACTGCTGCCTGTTCTAGAACAGACGTATTGGTCACATCATCTGACCAGGGGATGTTTAGGATTGTTCGGAGGCAGCGTTGATGGAAGCGTTCCAGGAGTCGCAGGTGGTGGCTGTAGATGACCCAGGATTCGGACCCATATGAGAGAGTAGACAGCACAATGGCTCTGTAAACACTGATCTTTGTGCTTTTCTTCAAGTGTTTATTTCACCAAACTCTTTTATGGAGTTTTCCAAAAGCTCTCTATGCCTTTGCTAACCTGTTGTCCATCTCCCCGTCAATCTCACCATCCGAGGAGATGAGGCTGCCAAGGTAATTAAACTGCTGGACTGATTTGAACTCTGATTGGCCAATGGTGATATGGGGATGATGGGGGACTTCCTGAGGTGCAGGTTGATGGAGAACTTCTGTTTTCTTTAAGCTGACTTCCAGCCCAAAGAGCTCAGCAGCCTCAGCAAAGCAGGATGTTAAACGCTGCAGAGCTGCTTCTGTGTGAGCGACGAGGGCGGCGTCATCAGCATAAAGCAGCTCCTGGACAAGATGGTTTAAGGTCTTGGTGTGGGCCTTCAGTCGCCTCAGGTTGAAAGGGCTTCCATCGGTATGATATCGAATGTAGATCCCGTCCTGATCATCGAGGTCTGCCGTGGCCCTTTGGAGCATCCTGCTGAAAAAGATGGTGAATGGGGTAGGAGCGAGAACGCAGCCTTGTTTCACACCATTAGTTATTAGAAAGGGCTCAAAAACTGCATTGCCATATCTGACTTGGCCGTGCTGATCCTCATGGAGTGAGATGATCATTTTAAGGAACTTGGGGGGACAACCTAAACGTTCCAAAATCTGCCACAGACCTTTTCTGCTCACAGGATCGAAAGCCTTGGTGAGGTCAACAAAGGTTACATAAAGACCTTTGTTCTGTTCCCTACACTTCTCTTGCAGTTGCCTGAGAACAAATACCATGTCTGTGGTACTCCTGTTGGCTCTGAAACCACATTGGCTTTCAGGTAGAATTCCTTCTGCTATAGTGGGTATTAGTCTGTTCAAGAGTATTCTTGCCAGGATTTTGCCAGCAATGGAGAGCAGAGTAATACCTCAGTAGTTAGAGCAGTCTGATTTATCTCCCTTCTTCTTATATGAGGTGATAATGACTGCGTCATGAAGGTCTGATGGTAGTTTGCCTAGTTCCCAACAGCACACCACAAACTCGTGGAATTTAGCATGGAGTGCTTGGCCCCCATGTTTCCAGACTTCAGGTGGAATTCCATCAATCCCAGCTGCCTTGCCAGTTTTCACCTGCTGTATGGCCTTAAGAGTTTCTCCCCTAGTAGGGGCAATATCCAGTTCATCCTTCGCTGGCTGTTGTGTAATGTGTTGAATTGCTGAGTCTTGAGCTACATGATTGGTACTGAAAAGAGTCTGAAAGTGTTCAGACCATCGATTCAGAATGGAGGTTTTATCTGTCAGAAACGTTTGACCACCTTCACTGAGTAGAGGACTTTGTGCCTGGTATGTAGGCCCATATGCTGTTTTCAGGGCCTCATAGAATCCTCTGTGATCACCCGTATCTGCACATAATTGAATTTTTCCTGCTAGACTGATCCACCACTTGTTCTGGATGTCACGAAGTTGCTGTTGGAGCCTGCTGCATGCAAGATGAAAGTCTGCTTTTCTTACGTGACGAGACGGCAGTGCAAGGTGTACTTGGTGGGCGATTCTCTTCTTCCTCAACAATTCCTGGATCTCTTGGTTGTTTTCATCAAACCAGTCCTTGTTCTTCTTGAAGGAGAACCCTAAGGATTCCTCAGAGGACTGCAGGATGCTGTTTTTAATATGCTGCCAAAGTGATTCAGGAGAGGGATCTATGGAATGATCCTCGAGCCTAGTTTGAAGGTTTGCCTGAAAGTTGTCTCTCACTTTAGCTGATTTAAGATCGTTAACTTGGAGTCTCCTCCTTGGAATACCACCCCTTTTAGGTTTGAACTTAAGGTTGAAGTCAAGTTTACAGCACACAAGTCGATGGTCTGTTTGGCATTCTGCACTGGGCATCACGTGGGTGTGATGGACATCGCGGACATCTCTCCGTCGCACCAAGATGTCATCAACGAGGTGCCAATGCTTGGATCTAGGATGCATCCAGGTTGTCTTCAGTCTATTTTTCTGCTGAAAGATAGTGTTGGTGATGGTGAGCTGCTGGTGCCTTTAAGTTCCCAGCAGATCCAAGTCCCCATATTCCATAGCAAAGGGTCCAGCTGAGCCCCCAGCA